CTGTGATGTTAAGACTAAAACTGTGTTGTATATTGCTACGTTTCTTTTCATTGGTTACTGTAAGAGTGTTTTTCCCCTCTACTTTATAGTGGCTTGGCAAGTTTTGGTTTGTTGTTTACCATATTTTATGTTATAAATTAATATTTCCACAAAGATGATTGCAAGTTATTTGCTGCCACAAGGATATCTAAACCTAAACATTACTTGAAAGAACCTTAACAACAGTGTTACTGCCAGTCAACCATAATATTTCATAGAACGATAATTAGAATACATTTCTTTTAAAGGATATTTTGGTTGACCCAGTGAGCTAAAAAATATGCCAGAGAAAATATAATATGGGGGATCCTCAAGGGATTTTTTTTTTACATTTAAGTTAAAACTGTGTTGTAAAATATACAAATGCATAAATATAAGGGTGCTGTGAGTGGGAAAGAAGGGAAAATATTGTCAAACTAACTTGAAGAGTGTTTATCAACTAAACAAGAACAAAGGAAAATCAAACTTAAAGACAATGGGCTTGATTTTGCCTGGTGCTGAGCACTCTGGCTCTGATCCAGACAAACAGTTATGCATTTGATGCAGTTTGTTGCAAGTCAATGAGACAAGAGTGCTTCTCAATCAGGGTCTGACCCTACACCCATTGAACTCACTAAGTATTTCCATTCTAAGATGGTGGAAGCTTGCTTAGAATGGGGGTTGAGTAGGTGGAGGTGAATAATGAAACATAAATGTACAAAGCACCAAAGTAGGTATGGGAAAAGTTTAGGTGTCTGTAAGTCAGGGTGGATGCCCTTCATGTGGAGTGAGGGGAGTTTGATGTGGTAAGGCTAGCAAGGGAAGCAGAGTAGGTGCCCTGCAAAGGGAATTGAGATGTTAGGGATAGTAAAGGGAGAGAGATGGTGCTCTGTATAGGAAATGAGGGGAGCGTAGGCTCCCAGGCCTAATCTTGGATGCTGCTACAGCCACTCCAGTCTCTGGGTTCCAGTCTCACCTCTACCCCAGACAGCTGGGAGGCCTCTCTGCAACAGATTGCATGAAGCACAGGTGAGGGGGAGGTGAAAACTAGGGATGGAAACATTTTTAAAACAACCAGTAACCTTGGTTACACAGTTAAATGGTTTGCAGGCTGCCAGCTCTGTGGGCTTCCTGCGAGTAGCTGCGAGTTTAACCTGTAAGGTTAACTGATAAGCATTAGCTTATGCCAATGCTTATCTTTTAATTCATTAAAGGGTTAAACTCTTACATCCCTAGTGGAAACCTAGCTCAGACCCCACAATATTTCCACTGTGGTGGTAGGTGCTAGCTGCCACAGTCCCCTGGTTTTCCTGTCCCTGAGAGCAGGATTGGGCCCTCAGCAGGATCTTAGAATACAGATGATCCTAATAGTTGTTTACCATTTCCATGATTGCTTTAAGAAATTAAACCTTTTGATATGAGCAAATTAAAATAGTTTACCTGAACAATTCAAAGAAGATCCCCTTAGTTGCATGTGTTGGATGTGTTAGGCACAATGATTGAGAGAGGACATGGTAGCGGTTTTCAAGTATAGGCAGTCCCCGGGTTACGTACAAGATAGGGACTGTTGGTTTGTTCTTAAGTTGAATCTGTATGTAAGTCGGAACTGGCACATATTGTAGGGGAAACTCTAGCCAAACATTTCTCCAGAGCTCAGTTTTATTCTTCCACACCTCACTTCCCTCAGTCCTTTATTCTCAAGCTGAGGTGTCTGCTGAGAAAAGCCGCTCCGGGTGCTAGCTTCGCGTCTCCCTGGTCTGCTGGGGGGAAGCAGCTAGTGCGGGGTTGCCTCACCCCGTTTGTAAGTAGGGATCCGACATGTAACCCGGGGACTGCCTGTACCTAAAAGGATGTTACAAGGAGGGAGAAAAATTATTCTCTTCTGACTAAAGGACAAGAAGCAATGGAGCTTTAGGTTGGACATTAGAAAAAACTTCCTGTCAGGGTGGTTAAATACTGGAATAAATTGCCTAAGGAGGTTGTGGAATCTCCATCACTGGAGATATTTAAGAGCAGGTTAGATAGGCATCTTCAGGGGTGATCTAGATCTGTGGTGTCCAACCAGTTCTGAAGCAGTAGCAACTATAGTGGCTACTGCTGTAGCGAAGTAGCCACACTTAACTGGCTAAATAGCCACATGTGGCTAGTATGTTGGGCACCACGGATCTAGATGGTGCTTTAGTCCAGCTAAAAACTCATTCGAGATGAATGGGGAAATTCACATCTCCTGGAATTGTTTCAGACTTGCTGGGAATTCAGATAGAATTCTCTGCATCAGTTATACTTGATTCATATGTTTAAGAATTTCTTTACATCTCTAAGCACTGGAGACGTACTTTTTGTTTTAAATGAATGGGTAGATTCTAAAGAACAAGATGGCAGCCTCCAAAAATACAAAGAATCTGCGGTGTGATGTGGTCCAACTTGAGCACTTGTGATATCACTTAAAAAAAATCTGTCTGAAGCAAATGAGTATGCCTCTTCGCATAGATATTTCCATAAAGGTGTGATTGCAAGTTATTTGCTGCCACAAGGATATCTAAACCTAAACTTTACTTGAAAGAACCTTAACAATGATGTTACTGTCAGTCAACCATAATATTTGCGGTCAAAATACAGTATTCCTCTGTGTCAATGTTTATGTAAATTATTTATTCCGCATTTTCTACTTGCACTTTATGGGAAAAGTTAGGAACGGATTTCTTACTGCATTTCTCTCATTTTCTTCTGGAGATGGCACCAAAATTCCATGTGCTGGTTCCTCGTTTCTTGACAAGAATTCTTCAAAAGCCGGTAGATTTTTTTTTTGTAGAGGTTCTTCCTCTAAAATGGGGAGGTATGTTTTGAAAACAACCACAGCATTTTGTTTACAGTGGCCAAAGGAAGATTTTTATGAGGTGTGCATGGGATGGCAGATTAGGAGGTTGATTTGATGGGTTTTGAAAAAGAATTGAGGTGAAGTTGTGATTGCAGGAATAGGCTGAATAGATCAAAAGGACTGGAACCCAATTTCATACAATCATGACTGAAGCATAAATGTATTTGGCTACGTCTACACTGGCCCCTTTTCCGGAAGGGGCATGTAAATTTCACTAGTCATCGTAGGGAAATCCGCGGGGGATCTGTAAGGCTACGTCTACACTGGCCCCTTTTCCGGGAGGGGCATGTAAATTTCACTAGTCGTCGTAGGGAAATCCGCGGGGGATTTAAATATCCCCCGCGGCATTTAAATAAAAATGTCCGCCGCTTTTTTCCGGCTTTTAAAAAAGCCGGAAAAGAGCGTCTAGACTGGCCCCGATCCTCCGGAAAAAGCGCCCTTTTCCGGAGGCTCTTATTCCTACTTCAAAGTAGGCGGCGGACATTTTTATTTAAATGCCGCGGGGGATATTTAAATCCCCCGCGGATTTCCCTACGACGACTAGTGAAATTTACATGCCCCTTCCGGAAAAGGGGCCAGTGTAGACGTAGCCTTTGTGTATAGTCACGATTACATAAATTATACTGCCAGTGGAAAATATGAAGGGAATGGTGAGACACTCCTGTGTACTGTATGTGTCACATGTATTTGTGATTGACATACATCTGACAAAGTGGGTCTTTGCCCACGAAAGCTTATGCTCCAACACTTCTGTTAGTCTATAAGGTGCCACAGGACTCCTCGCCACTTTTGCAGATTCAGACTAACACAATTAATCCTCTGATAGTAGAACTGGAAGGGACCTCAAGAGGTCATCAAGTCTAGTCCCCTGCC